GTGTGTGTGTGGGTGCTGCGTGCGTGCGTGCGTGCGTGCGTGCGTGCGTGCGTGCGTGCGTGCGTGCGAGCGTGCGTGCGTGCGTGCGTGCGTGCGTGCGTGGGTGGGTGGGTGGGTGGGTGGGTGGGTGGGTGGGTGGGTGGGTGGGTGTGTGTGTGTGTGTGTGTGGGTGTGCGTGTGCGTGTGTGTGCGTGTGTGTGTGCTGCTTATTCTCAGGTCCCGCTATTTTGAAACATACCCATTTGGGTGTGCCGCTTCTTTTGGACGAAGGGAAACCAAGAGGACGCCATTCGTTCTGATTCTCATTTTGCAGGGAAACTTCGAGCAATCCAGAATTCCATTGGCACTGGGAAACAAGCAGCACTCTCTTTTTTGGGCAGTTGACTTTTAAGCAAACCTGGTACTTAAGCAAACATAGCGGTCGGTTTTGAAAGGATACCTGGCTTCTCTTCCCTTGGTAGTTGAGTTCAACCAAAAAAAAAACCTCCCCGAAGAACCGAGGGAAGCAACTCCCCTCCCAACAAAAAGGACACCCGCTGGAGGTCTCGCCTTCCCCCCCCGCCTGCAGCCGCTGCACCGCTTGCTGGGTGGCATCCGCCTCCGCCTTCCAAGCCGCGGCCTCGAGAACGCGAGTCGGAGCCTTAAGGAATGCCAAGGAGCCCAAAAACGGGTTTGAAGGGGTGGGTGTGGGTGTGGGGGTGGGGGTGGGTGTACCCACAGGTGTCCTTTTGGGGGAAATGGATATCCCTCCTTAACTCGGTCGCGAAATCTGCTCCCCTGCGAAAAGTGACTAACTTTTTGTGGTATAATACGGAAAACCCATTAGTTGGCAAAAAGTTGAAGTCCTAACATCCAAGCAACATGCACCTCTGTTAAGCAACCCCAAAAAACCGACAGTCCTTTGGGGGAAAATTGATGGATATCCCTGGTAGATGAGTAAACCACCTGGTAAACCATGGCCATCTATTATTTTGCCAAAGCAACCAAAGAGAACACCTATGATCCTACCCAATTTCCCGGATGGGAGTCCATACCCTCCAGTAATGATGGATTCCCTTTTAAAACCGAAGAGAAAATGAAACATACTTGTTTCAGCCAATGGAAGGATTGGTTGGGTTGGGTTGGTCTTGGCTGGTTGAAGCCAGGTGAGTTGTAGGTCGTTTCTGGGGTTTGGGGGGAATATCCCATGCGCATTTTCAGGTATGGGGCGTGGAGGCCTGAAAGCCGCAGAACGCAATTGGCCAGCCCTCCGTTTTGAACAGAGTTTGTTTGGCCCCCCAAAGACCGCTGAGGGGCTCAAGTAATAGGAATAGGGTTGTGGGGTACTCTTGAACCGACCGACTTTGGTCATGACCATACCACTAGTGTGTGTTTCCCTGCCTCAAGCTTTGAGCTAGTTGCTGGCCATGAACAGGGGTGAGAAAAAAAGCCAAGTCTATGTCGCTTGATTTGGGCAACTGAAAACATTGGCGTTTCACACCTTTGGCACGACCCCTTGAAGGCCACCTTTGAGACCCAAATGGACGTTGGAAACTCACACTGAAAATAAGATGCTTGGACTCTGTTTCCTTTTTTTGCCTACCCCATGAAATAGTAAAATAGATCTGCGGGAGAGTGGCCCCCGATTTTTGCGGGGTCCCCAAGGGTCACCTGGCAATGCCAACTTTTCGATCAATAGGACCCTACTAAGTACTAAGGGAGGGTTTACCTGTCCATCCTTAGAGGTCCGGAGTCCGACTCCATGAATCTAAAATTTACAAATGGAAGCAAATGTCTGGCAACCTACCTCGTGGCCAAGGGAAATTCCACCGGATTGGTTGCTCAATTGAGTCACAGTCAAAGTTACTTGTTTCCCCGAAAGGACATGGGCAAAAACGTTCCCTGGTTTGTTTTTTTGGGGGGGGAATTCAGTGAGTCCCCCATGCCAAATAGATCGTGGACTACCAGTACTTGAGCGCGCCTCATTGGTGTGTGTGTGTGTGTGTTTTGTCTAGCTGGCCTTGATGGTTTAAACGCGCCCTTTCAAAAGTTCCACCTCTCAAGGGACCAAAGTTGCAACTGCCTTGCACCTCTGGTTCTCTGGTCTTGCTGGTGTAGGGAATGACCCTTCCGCGTTTGGGAAACCTGGGGATTCCCTTAAAGGAAACCATTGGAAGTTTGTGGGGTTTCATTCCATTTTTCATTCTCGCTCGCCTATCGAACCGATCGCAAGATTCTGTTTGCCTCTCATCCCAGCCCCCAGCTCTGAAAGGTGACTGGTGGTATCTGAACCCAGACTGAACCCCAGATTTGACCCCGTTTTTCAAATATCCCCTGTGCCAAACAAACCTTGAGGTTTTGCTAAGGCTTTAAGGAGATCTAAAAGGGGGGGTGCTTTGGGTTTCCGTCAGTCTGCTAATCAGCGAGCTTGCTTCAAAAAGAAATAAGCTCGTCATAAGGTGCGCAATAAGCAATAAGGGGCGGAAGCTCCCCACAAACAGGGTTTGATTGTGGAGTGCGAAGGGGGCTGTTTCAGGGCGTTCGCTAAGTGTACCCCTTTGACCATTACCCACCTGAAGGGTGAAAACTCAATCTCAGGATTTCTCAATCAAACCCTTTGGATTTGTCAATGGGATGAGGTGACGTTCCTCTCGTCCCGCCAAAGCAAATTGGCCCTCAAGGACAAACCCATATCGACCTGAACTCCCAGATCGCATGACAATTGCCAGAAGGGGCCAACCAGGTGCCATGCAATGCTGGCTCTCTGGATTTGGCTTCCTCACAAAGTGACCCTGGGAAATCCCCCCTCTTGGGATGAATTTGATCCGGGGCCATCACTCATACCTGAAAACACGAACTAGAACAAGGATCCAAGCAGTCAGGGTGGGCAAGTGGGGCCAAGCCATTGGCCAACCGTGCTACAAGGATGCTTCTCTGTTGTTCGTTCGTCGTTTTAAGGGGGACCAGGATCCAATTTGCAACCCTGCGATGGTGATGTTTCAACAGTAGGACATTGACCACGATTGGTGTCCGGCTTCCTGCAAAGCCAACCAAACAAGGGGCCAACATGGAAACTGCACCCATATACCTGACAAGCAGCAGAAACCGATAGGTGACCGCCCAAAGCCAACACTCAAGACCGGGGACCCAGAACTGATACCCTGGCAATGGCGCCCGTCAATTCCTATCCCTAGTTATGGTTGACCTCTTGCAGAAAGTGGTGTGCAGTATATAGCCTCAGCACCAGCAAACAAACCACCCAAAGAGGCTGAACAAAAACTGGGAACTGCATCCAAATACTGCAAAACTGCCTACTTGCTCCATGGGCCCAAATGGACCACAGGACATGTTGACCGAACCTGTATCCGGCCGCGCAAGCAATCACATGTTCTGAGCCTGCTTCATCTCTAGACCCCAAACACGGGCAACTTACTGCTGGTTTCCATTGAAAGTGCCACAAAAAGGGAAATGGAGTATCCACCCCTCCCACCAATTAGCATGGAACCGAAAAAATTGAGGTCCTGGTTTGGACCATGTTCCTTTTAAAGGGACCGGGTCCCTGTCAGGTTCCATGTTCATTGGTGGGAGAGCAGCCCCTCCCAAAATATGGGGTACAGGTCAACATGAAAACCACCCACAAACCACAGGTTGCTGTCTTTGTTTCCAACCAGGGCAACTCATTCTGGGGTTGCCCTTTTGACCACCACACCCTGCGATTTTGGGTTACCCTTGGGGCACCCGGGCCGCTTTGGTATAGTCCACCTGGGACTGGGTGTAGGACAGCTCTGCCTGAACGAACCCGGTGGGGAATCAACGGGTTTGTTGGGGCCCATCAACCAAAAACTGAAACTGAAGGTCACCAACCCCGCCCCCCCCACCCCCCCCCAAAAAAAAAACAAAGAACGGGATCCCCATGGGGACCAACCAGAAGATTCAGTGATTAGGGGTTTGCAAAGGGGGTCCCATGGGACAGTGGTTAGGGTTGCAGAACGAAAAAACTAGAAAACAAAACACTTGCTAAGAACAGTGAATCCAAAAGCTGAAATGAAGATCAAGACCCCTCCAAAAACTCCCGAAAAGCAGAAAACGGGATGCCCCTCACATTCATTGGCCGTCCTCCAGTAGTGCCCTTCTTCATTTTGCTTCGCCGGTACTTCCCTTGTAGCATCAAGTACCAACTGGAAAAGGAGACACGAAACTTCGCAGGCTTGCGGGGCAGTGGCTGATGCGGGGGCCAAGAGCGGACTGGACATGTATTGGTGGCACCGGAGGGTAAATGGCAAACGATGTATCATATGGGATCCATGCGGGCTTTTCCGACAAGACTGTCTTGAGGTGAAAGGGTTGGAGGGACGCAGCGCGCAAGCGACAGCGGGCGCCTTTTTTGGCTCGAAGCGTTGTTCGGCACTAGGTTGGAGGCAGCACATACGCGGCAGCATCTGGATGCCGCACGGGCAGAGCAACATCAATTTCGAACGTAGGACGAGTCAGCTGGAAGTTTGGCATAGAGCTCTTGTGCGGCTTTTCCGCGGCAGCATGCTAAGGCGAAGCGCAGGGCGGAAACCACTGCAGTAGTGGACGAAGCACGTGTGCGAGTGCAGGGCTGTAAATCACAGTGGTGGAAGAGAGGGGCCCAGGCCTGAAACTGTTGGCATCTGTGCCGCAGTTGATTTTTGGCCGTTTTTTTCATGCGCGCCGGGGCAACAGTGGGTGCACGACGGAGTCATCGAGGGCGTGAAGGACGCGCGCACGCGTGTCCGCGGCAAGACCGCGCAGCGTGGCTTCTTGGACGGCGTGCAAGCGCGAAATTTCGGCTGGACAGTGGCAGGTGGCCCGCCGCTGCACTGCGCTGGAGAAGGCAGCCTGAAGACCAACAAGTGCTCCAAGTCAGTGACTCGACTGAGAAGGACATAGAGCGCCGTCCAAAATTCTAGAGCATCTTTGGCGGCGCGGCGAAGTCGTCATCAGGCCTGGCACTGTGGCGCCTTGCAGCCCGTACGCAGTGAAGGCAATGCAATTCGTGAACGGGAGCTGCGTGCGTGCAACAGTTGCAGGCTGGAAGTCTGTTTCGTCAGCTCCGGGGCTGAAGCGCCACGACCTGGTTCGAGGGCTGACGAAGAACGCACCGGGCCCTAACGCAAGGTCTTTGATCCCCTCATGGCCCGGGCGGAAGGGCAAACCCGAGGGCGGACCAGGGAGGAGGGACGCCCCGGACCCCCTTTCTTCTAAGCCTTGCTCACGCAAGGAAAACTTCAGGCAGCCTCCCCGAGGCTACCTTTCGACTTCTGCAGTTTCCCCAGTCTTTTCCGGCCGTTTCCCAGAAGGGGCTGGAGACTGGTGAACTGGGGTGGGCTGGAGTGAGCTGGACTGGGGCTGGAGTGAGTGGAGTGAGTGGAGTGCTTTTGGCGCTTTTGTTGGTTTCCCAAACGCGGATACCTGGATTTGGTGATCCGCCAAAGCCACTCAAATGGCCCAAAGGTGACACAAAGCCAACAAACATCTGCGAAGCTGAGGCTTCCTGAGCTCCGAAGGGTTTGTTGGTCTTTGCATGGGGCGCCCATTTGGGAAACCACCAAAAAGGGATGACTTTCACCACATCAAAAGCGGCCCATGGACATTTTTGGGGCCGAAGCTTCGGAATATGGCTCAACCCCCCAAAAAGATCCATCTGGGTTCTCAAATTGAGGACCCCCTCTAGATCGGTGCTTTCCTGTGCGAAAACCCCACCCGACAAGTTACAAGGAATCCCCTATTTGGAGAAACACCCATATGTGCCATCAAAAATCATTCTACGGCCTATGGTCATGATTTCCAGGTGGTTTTTCTAGGTAGAATGGGTTGTGTTGGGGCCCTAAATGGAAGATTGAGCACCCCTCACAGGTGCATTCCTTTGTAAAAGCCACCCGAGAAAGAGGAAGGCCCTATTTGGAGAACCCACATGGCCACATGGACCTCCCTTCAAAAGCCCTGGAGACGAGTCCGATTCCGCCGGACGAGTCCGCCTTCACGTAGGGCGCCTTGGCCACCGCCGCGGCGTGGCTCGCGTGCGCCGAGCTCCGGGACTTGGCCGGGCACGAGCTTCGGGCGAATTGGTGGGGTGGGAGGGGACTTTTTCTTCCGTTTGGTTCAGACCCCTGGAAAAATAAAATAAAATAAAAATATGTCCAGTAGTGATAGGGGAAAATAACACAGATTCTTCAGAAAATGGATGCTTTGGGGGGGATCCATAGATGTTTCCCTGCAGCTTCAGGCTCAACCGACTTCCCCGATTTTCGGGGGGATCAACCGCACCCCAGTCAGAGGAACACCTCTCAGAGATTCAGAGCGGTTCCTTACTCAATGGGCCCCTCATTAGGTCTCCAACATCTTGTGTGGGCCTCTTTTCCCCCGGTAATCCACGTCTCATCTCTAGCTCCGTTCCCACACAGTGCCTTTTGGTTGAAGGATCTTTTGGGGCCCCTCGGGAGCCTTCTTGGGACTCCTCGGAAGGCTGGGGCTTTCCAAGCCGAAGGGATTGAAAGGCTTTGAGGCCAAGTGGTGAAACGCCCTACACCATTTCGGACAAGTCCATGTGGCGGGTCAGAAATTGGTACCCAAAATGGAGCCCTGGTGAATGAAACCAAGGACTAAACCTGTGGTCTGGTGGTCTAATTTTGACCCATGTCGCAAAGCAAGAGAACCTCAATGTCAACCTCGGATAATCCGGACCGGGCGAATTGATCAGTGGCGCAATCTACTCTTGGGGGTGCCTCTGATTCCGTCCGGTGGAATCCGAAGCTAAGAAGCCGAGCAAGAAGCCGACAGCACCACACGATTGATGAACATGATGATGTGCGGGACTATGTAACAATCCATGATCCAAGTTTTCTTGTTTTACAGTTGATGGAGTATCAGTGCTGTGCAAAAAAAAGCGGTGGCAAAAACCAAAGGCCCGCAAAGGCCATAGTTGGGGAAAAACATGTGGGCGTGGGTCGTTTTGCAGGAAATCCAACAGAAAAGCCACCAATTCAAGCCTCCCCCCAAAAAAAGACAGACCCATAAACCTTGTGATGCCACGTGGTTCCGCATGACGATTCCTGTGAGCCAGCAAGGCTGAACCAAATCAATATATTTGGCTTGTCTCAGGGGAGACCTTAAAATTTGTGCCTTGGCCGGTTTTAGAGATAGACAATCCAGTTTGGGGAACAGAGCCCATGAAAAGAAAAACACCGGGCCCTTGGGCTGTTTGGTAACATGTGAGACGGTTTTGCCCCTGAAACAGATCGTCGTCCTGCATATTTGCCCTTGACCAAAAAAAAGCGCGTGTGATCAAGACAATTCAGGGGGTCAAAGTTTGGTCCTTGAAAGTTCAGGCTGCTTAGGTTGCAACTATGGTTTTACATCAAGTCCTTGCTGTCCCATCCGTGGTTGATCTTGGCTAGGATTAGAACCCTTGCCAGCCTGGTCCGTAGAAAAGATAACACCCTAAGGTTTCACATTGACCAAGCATTTGGGCAGCTCCAAGAAGCAGTGGGCTGGCACTTCTTGGCCACGAAAGCTAACAAAAATATGGGCGTGGGAATCAGGAGCGGGTTTCTGGGGAAGGAAGTTTTCCGAGTGGAAGTACAGAAGCGGGCATTATCCTTGTGTCAAGGGGGAAACGAAAGGAAAGCAAACTTGGAGGGGTGGAAATTGGCGGAACTAGGATTAGGATACATTTGGCGTGCTAACATTGGACATGGACCTCCTCGTTGAATGAACAACTTTCTGGGGCCTGTGATTTAGAAACCGCCACTTGTCAGTGGGTGACATCAGACTGCATGGATCCTGGGCTTTGGCTTTTGGATGGGAAGAACAAAAGAGTTGCGAATAATCCTTGGGTCCCCCCCTAAGTTGGTTCTTTACTTTTTCCCATCCCGCCCATACCTGACAAACAACTGGTTTTCTTTGGTGAGGGTACCCCTTTCTGGGGGGAACCCTAAAAGGCAAACAACACCTTCCTTGTATCCACAAGCACACATGAGGCCGGAGCGTTGAGCATCCGCTTAAAGCTGCCACTCTCCCTCACCTAGGCGCGAGCTGCGGTGAACCCACAGTGGGGCTCATCAGGCCAGCTATTTTCCAGGGCAGAGGATGGAAACACGCATCACGCCCTCAGGCAGAAATGCTAGAAAGAAGCCCAGCACGACCATAGGAAGTGCAAAGAAGCGAACGTAGAAAACCAGCTCGAAGTGTGGCAGATCATCACCATCTCCTCCGAAAACTAGGCACGAAGTACGGAAGAGCAACAGAAATGGCAAGAAGGCCACGAATGGTTTTATGTTTTTCTTTGCTCAGCTATCCACGCGTTTGGTCGACATATCACCATCGGTTCATACATAGGTTGGTCTACACTAGGCCGCGATTCTGAGCTGAAGTTTCCATTCTCATCTCACCATACTCAGTGCAACGCGAAAGCGGAAGACAATTCCAGGAACAGCCCTCATTGTGAGCCCCCAGCTCAGTTGCCCAAAGAATTAAAAGGTTAACCTTTTGGGGCCATGACGACAAGTGGACCAAAATGGAAAAACCAAAAGGTCACAAGGTGGATTGGCTTCGGACAATCGACCCCCGGAACCGGCCGCCACTCCCTAGGGCTTGCCATCACCCGACCCGCCGTCGGCTCCAGGGCTGCGGCCCAGGACAAGACCCCGCGCTTGCGCAGAGCCTGAGCCAAGAGCATTCTGCGAATCCCGAGCAACGAAGGTTTTCTTTGGGGGGGAAGCTGGGTTTCGGAACCCCCTAGCTCCAAGCCAAACCTGTGCAGCGACGCCTGGTGCGCACGTGCCAGAAAAAGAAGAAAAAAACGACAACACAAGCCGCTTTGCACCCCAGGCTTTGGGATTGGGAGAACTTTTGCCGGCCCGTGACACGGAATCAACTTCCAAAGAACCGGCACCTCCCCTTTGCTCGTCTCCCGGAGAAACCATATTGGCTGATAAATCTTGGACCAAGTGGTGCGATCACCTCCAAACGTGAGAACCATGGAACACCACCACGCAGGATTCCCGAGATTTCCTCCGCCCAAAGGAACATCGCTTTGACTGGCCCTTCGAAAAGCGGAATGTAGGACGCCCAGCGGCTCAATCCAAAGGCCGGAATCTACAAAAAGAAAGAAACTGGGGAGCCCTTGGGCAACCGAACTTGCCGATCTGAGCCCGAAAATATGGGTGTCTCGTTTTCTCTAGGGCCTAAAGAAGGGTACCTCCAAGCCATAAGTCGTGATAAGAGGACTCTGTGTAAGTGTTTAGCCTCCTACATTCTGTCTTTCTTTGACGGGTTCACTTGGAACATCCTGCCCGCCCGAGCTGCAACCCAAATGGTGCGTTTTCTTGCGGAATCCCTAGTGCTCAACCAATATTTTACACCAACATCCATGATTTGTGTTTCAAAAAATGTCCACACACGCAACCCTTCAAGGAAACCACAAGGGATGGTTTACAGGGGTCATTCCCTCATTCCCTGCCTATCGCACCAGCAATCTAGGGGTGCCTTCCCCATTCTTTCCAGGAATCCTTCCTTTCAGGAAACCATCCAAAACCCAGGGGAAACAGCCGGTTTTTGAAAAGAACGATGGTTGAAAAGAATGGGGAATCAACCCCTAGAAGCAAGACGAGTCATCCCGACTTGGCCTCCGGGCCGACTGCACTTGCTCGGTGACCGCCCCGGCGTCGGTGGCCGCGTTCTGGGCGCGGCGCTCCCAGCCAGCGGCCTGATGGATCAATTCGTCGGTGCACGGAAATGTGAGACCTCCACACCGGATTTCCTTTGCTAGGTCCTCCAGTAGAGAGGTTAGAATAAGAGTACCTGCATCTTTCCTAGTGTGTTTTTTTCGCCCCTTAGAAAAGAAACAGGTTCTTTCTGGCAGCATTTGGGCACAGAAAGCGTGCCTCTCGGTGTGGCATAAACCGACATGGGCACATCCCGCATTTGAGGCGCGCCCTCCCGCGCCAATCGCATCAGTTGAAGTGCAAAACAGGCATGCGCCCTCGCCTGCTACCTGGAGCCGCTTTTCTCGAATGTTCTTTTTGGCCCGCAGAACATGGACTTTTGGAATTGCAGCCATGACGCGCTGAACATAGCGAAGGCTGAAGGCTCAACCGGGAATATCGAAGGATCTTTCAAATTTCAGGCCTACTTCTTGTTATATAGGGTCCTTTTGGGAGACCTCCCAACGGTTGCTTTTTGGGCATGTGACTTCAAAGGACTGCGCAGGGCAGGCAAGGTTCACTCATGACTCATAACCGTTTGGCCCACTGCTTTGTATGCAGGATAGAAGCCTTGCCCTCAACAACGAGCAGATCAGGGATATTGCCACAAACCATCAAAAGCAAGGACTGATCAACACGCTGCACCTTTACCTAAGCGACAGTGGTGCTTGTAACAGCCAGGGCCTCAATTTCTGATTATCGAAACGCCTTGCGGCCAAAGCCCGCAATGCAGTTAGCTAGGGTTGAGTTAGCAATGCTCACCTTGGATCCGAGACCAGGCCCAAGCCCGAACCGATTGCTTCGGCACCTTTTGCTGCTATAGGCAAAATCTGAAGCTGGCCTGCTGCCACCTGCAGCGGGGATTGCTCTGACCCGGTCATGGAGAGTAGAAAACGCACCGCTGCTGTGGCTGAGCCCCCGAGCTCACTAACATGGATCGATCCAATGTGACTACAAGAACCCCTGATTTACGGAATGCCGCATCAAAGCCATTATACATTTTCCACAAGTTACGCGCTTGCGCACGTCTGTCTGCCATGGAACCCAAGAGGGAAGACAGCCAAAAGGAGTTCAACTAAGAGTGTTTGGGGTCCATGTTTCCCCTCTTTAGGTCGGGGTAGTTGAACACAAATGTTAACTATACTGGTTTCAGCTAGGTTCGATTCGACTTTCTTGCTTCATTTCATGAAACCCTGACATGTGCAAACACGAGTTTCATAAAACCCTGAAATGTGCGCAGCGCATTTCATGATTTTTTGGAAACTCTGTGACATTTCTTCGGTCTTCGAGTTCGAGGTGTTCAAGGTGGTACCGGGCTGCCCTCGACAAGGGTCGTCGAGGAAAAGGTCGACGACAAAAGCGGCTCCATCTTTACTTGGGCCCTGGCCCCGGAAGACCCGGCCGGCCAAAACCGCCCCGGGACCGGCCAAAACCGCCCCGGGACTGTGAAACTGTGTTGACTGTGAAAGCGCGTTTCATGAATTGAGGGCGCGTGCCGTTTCATGAGCCCCGTCACTTTATGAGCCCACAGTTCAAGAGTCGATCCCCGGACCAAGTTTCATGAGTTTTTGCGGATTGGGTTCATGAAATGGCGCTCCAGGCCGGAATTGTCAAAATCTCCGGGGCGGTTTTGGCCGGTCCCGGGGCGGTTTTGGCCGGCCCCGGGGCGGTTTTGGCCGGTGCCGGGGCGGTTTTGGCCGGCCGGGTCTTCCGGGGCCAGGGCCCAAGTAAAGATGGAGCCGCTTTTGTCGTCGACCTTTTCCTCGACGACCCTTGTCGAGGGCAGCCCGGTACCACCTTGAACACCTCGAACTCGAAGACCGAAGAAATGTCACAGAGTTTCCAAAAAATCATGAAATGCGCTGCGCACATTTCAGGGTTTTATGAAACTCGTGTTTGCACATGTCAGGGTTTCATGAAATGAAGCAAGAAAGTCGAATCGAACCTAGCTGAAACCAGTATAGTTAACATTTGTGTTCAACTACCCCGACCTAAAGAGGGGAAACATGGACCCCAACCACTCTTAGTTGAACTCCTTTTGGCTGTCTTCCCTCTTGGGTTCCATGGCAGACAGACGTGCGCAAGCGCGTAACTTGTGGAAAATGTATAATGGCTTTGATGCGGCATTCCGTAAATCAGGGGTTCTTGTAGTCACATTGGATCGATCCATGTTAGTGAGCTCGGGGGCTCAGCCACAGCAGCGGTGCGTTTTCTACTCTCCATGACCGGGACAGAGCAATCCCCGCTGCAGGTGGCAGCAGGCCAGCTTCAGATTTCGCCTATAGCAGCAAAAGGTGCCGAAGCAATCGGTTCGGGCTTGGGCCTGGTCTCGGATCCAAGGTGAGCATTGCTAACTCAACCCTAGCTAACTGCATTGGAGGCTTTGGCCGCAAGGCGTTTCGATAATCAGAAATTGAGGCCCTGGCTATTACAAGCACCACTGTCGCTTAGGTAAAGGTGCAGCGTGTTGATCAGTCCTTGCTTTTGATGGTTTGTGGCAATATCCCTGATCTGCTCGTTGTTGAGGGCAAGGCTTCCATCCTGCATACAGAGCAGTGGGCCAAACGGTTATGAGTCATGAGTGAACCTTGCCTGCCCTGCGCAGTCCTTTGAAGTCACATGCCCAAAAAGCAACCGTTGGGAGGTCTCCCAAAAGGACCCTATATAACAAGAAGTAGGCCTGAAATTTGAAAGATCCTTCGATATTCCCGGTTGAGCCTTCAGCCTTCGCTATGTTCAGCACGTCATGGCTGCACTTCCAAAAGTCCATGTTCTGCGGGCCAAAAAGAACATTCGAGAAAAGCGGCTCCAGGTAGCAGGCGAGGGCGCATGCCTGTTTTGCACCTCAACTGATGCGATTGGCGCGGGAGGGCGCGCCTCAAATGCGGGATGTGCCCAGGTCGGTTTATGCCACACCGAGAAGCACGCTTTCTGTGCCTAAATGCTGCCAGAGCGGGCAAGTTGCAATTTCCGCCCCTGGCCTCAAAAACCGCCCCTCCAAGAAAGAACGTGTTTCTTTTCTAAGCAAGAAAAGCAAATTGGTGAAGACGCAGGTAATGACCTTTGGAATCTTTACAGGGGGACTCTGTTGTTTGAATATGGTTTGTGGCGGGTTCAACTTAGCTCATCCACTGTGCGCGGCTGCGTAAGAGAGCTCGACGGAGCCGCAAGGGGCAATTGTTTTGGTCCGGGGCTGTTTTTTGCTTTGGGGCCAAAAACTTTGGACCCTAAGCCCCGGGGCGAAATTCGGCGCCCCCGGAAGATCTAGGTACCAACTTTCTTCCGTAGTCTATTTTAGTAGGGGAACCCTCCCGGGGAACCCAGTTTGGGAACTTCCCTTTAAATGGGAGATGTCTCAAAATAGGGGGACCCTCAACATGGGGGACCCTCAAACTAGGGGAGCCTCAATCAAAATTGGTGGTTTTTCGTTGCTCCCTTTAAAGCCACCCAAAATTAGGGCACCATACCATCGAAAGACGGAACCACACTCCAATCTAAAAAGTGTACCCATGGTGCCCCTAGATCGCCTCCGTAGATCTGGGCGAAAATTATCGCAAGTCTTACCAACCGAGATGGGCCCCGGAAGGGAAAGGAACGAGAAATCCTACAAATCCCGTGAAGGGGGTATGTGGAAGGACCCTAGGAAGTCCCCTTAAATTCAACCAGCCCAAGAGCAGGTGGGCGACCAGGGATCTCGGGAGAGGAAAGATGTCAAATATCATGTTGCACTACTTGTCACTTGTGCATGCATGATGTACACTACCCGACTGCAGGCCTTGAGTCTACCAGGAAAAGAGTGCATGCTGGCTAACTACATTTGTGTTTGTGACGACAGAAACAACACTTGCACTTGCAGTAAAGTACCAACGTATTTACACAAGGGAGCTGAGATCCTAAACATAGGGGAGCTCCAGTAACAGCAGTAAGTACTACAACTGCACAGGCAACCACATGCCCAACTACTACGACATGTCAGGAGAACCAGCAGCAGCATCAGCACAACCAACTACAGGAGCAGACAACGGGCCCGCAGCAGAGGAGACAATAGGAGCCACAACTACGGGAACAACACAGGAGCAGGAAGACGTCCACAGGCTACACAAATACAAACTGCCACCACCGTTCTTCACTGGTGACTACTCACAGTACGAAGAGTGGCTGTTCAAACTACAAGCATACCTCGGACTCATCGACCGAGACTTCGACATGGTGCTACAACTAGCACAAGCAGCTACAAGACAAATTGAAGATGCAGACATCAGAGCCCACATACGCGACCCTACACAGGCAGCAAAAGCAGTAGACCTCTCACGAGATCTACACTACATCCTCATCAACATCTGCCAAGGTGCAGCAGCTACAGTGGTCAGACAAAACCGCTACAATGCCAATGGATGTGAAACACTACGGCTTTTGCACAACAGGTTCAGCCTACCAGTAGGAACACGCAGTGTTGGCTACCTCACCAAACTACTGGAACCTACATTCAATGAAGCACAATTTGAAGAACAATTCCTACAGTGGGAGTATGACATCAACCGCTACGAGAAAGACAACGGCACAGCACTACCAGATGGAGTGAAGATTGCAATACTACTCAACAAGACTAAAGGAGCACTTCAACAACATCTCCAACTACGCGCTGGACAGATCACGAACTACAACGAGATCAGAGTTGTGATCCTGGACTACTACAAAACCATATCTGCATTCTCAAGAGCGAGCTCAGCAGTTGGCACAAACTACAATGGTGGAACAGCACCAATGGACGTGGACAACATTTGGAGAAAAGGAAGAAACTACAAAGGCAAAGGCAAATATGGAGGCAAAGGACACTACAAAGGAAAGAAAGGAAAAGGCAAGTACAGAAGCAAAGGCCACTACAAAGGATTCGACAAAGGCAGCAAAGGAAACTACAACAAAGGAGGATACAACAAGAGCAAAGGAAAAGGCTACTCAGGATCCAAAGGATATGGATCAAGCAAAGGCTACAAAGGCCAAG